TTTTTTTTTTTTTTTTTTTTTTTGGAGGACGGGCAACACGTCCAGAGGATGCAGGCGCTGAATCCAACCCTCCTTGGTGTACTATGGTGGCCAAAGCAATAAAAAAAAAAAAAAAAAAAAACATTTGCTGTTAAACATCTTTGAAAGATCTAAAACCCTATATTTTTTTGTTTGTTTTTCCTGTTTTTGTTTTAGCCCTTAAAAAATCTCTGTGAAAAAAAAAAAAAAAAAAAGTTGTTTCATTTTTTTTTTTTTTTTTTCTAGGTAGCACGGCTTATCTGGCCGGATAATCTGGTCGGATTATCTGGCCGGATTATCGGGGATTCTGATTATCCGAAAATCCGGATGATTAAAAAAATGGCCAAAAAAAACCAAAAAAAGTAAAATAAAAATAAATGATATTGCGCATGCAAAATACAATCGAACTCGGTTCCTATTTCATAAAAAGCTTGATAGGTCGTGGAAGAGTTTGAATAGGGTAAGAATCCGTAAGATAAGGAATAAAGGGGTTTAGAGGGGGGATGCTTAATCCGTTTTATAACTTTTTATCTAAATATTATTTTCTTTTTTAGTTTTATTTTTTTATCTTGTTATCTGTTGAGATATCAAAGATGGCCTCAGTCCAAAAGTTGTTTGTATCATTGATATGAATAACATACTTTTTTTTCAGACAATTATTTATTTTTTTTTGTAAAAAAAAAATATTTTGTGCAGGGTCGGACTTTCCATATCCGGAATTAATCCGGAATTTTCATCTGGATTGAAAAACCCGGATAAAATTGGCCTGCCGGATATCCGGATTTGCTACCTAGGTTTTTTTCATTGTGTTTATGTTTCTGATTTTTTAAAAATATACTCAAACATAAAAAAATAAAAATAAAAATATAGGGTTGTAGTCCTCAAAAAGACCTACAACCCCATAGTTTTTTTTTGTTTTTTGGGCTATGCTTAGACCAGGAAAAAAATCATTGTGGACCCCATTTATTCTCGTCTAACGCGAGTTTAAACGGGATTCGATGCGAATTTAACGCACGTTGAATATGTCAACGCGGAACCCGCGTTGAATCGAAAATCAGACACATAGGGGACAAGTGAATACAAAGGTTTTATCGGTAGGGGGTATTTATAACTTTTCCCAAATCGTTAGTAGATAAACCCCTTTGAGAGGACACCTTTGTATTCGTTTGCCCCCAAACGGGGCCAGAAGTGTCGGGCCTGCCCAACTATTTCCGGACAAATGAATACAAAGTTTTTGTCGCCAAGCGGGGTTTATAACTTTTACCAAATCTTAAGCAGATAACCCCCCTTGGGCGAAACCTTTGTATTTGTTTGGCCCCAAACGGGGCAAAAAGTGTGGGAGGCCGTAAAACTACCTTTCACTTCTTTTTTGCACCCTGGTTAGATTGGTAAGGCCAGAGGCGCCTACGAAGGCTGTTCTGTGGGGGTAAGGCATGTGGTCTTGTGGTACGACTACGAAGGCTCGAGGTGTATGTAACCTCGCGTTCATTGAACGTGGGTTTTCCATTCAATTTTTGAATGGAATGAACGCACGTTCAACGAACGCGACCGAACGCGCCGTTCAATTCCGCGGTTCATATTAAAAAAAAGAAAACCAAAAAAATTGCGGCCTGCGTCGTCCAGACGTGCACTGATGGAGAGAGAGAGAGAGAGAGAGAGAGAGAGAGAGAGAGAGAGAGATTCATAGTAAAAAGGAGATAGATTGTGAGTGCGCAACAGTGACTCGTGCACACTCAACACCATACACCATACGTAGCATAGAGAGTATCATCACACGATGTTCCCTGAAATCCTATGAAACACTCGCGGACGCATCCGCGGGTCCGATCTCAGATGGGGGACGTAGATGGGGCCGTGTCCGCGGCCGACCTGGTTCACGCCGTAGACCCGATTTTACCAGAATTTTCTGAATTAAATAATAGGTTAAAAATATATATATATATATATATATATATATATATATATATATATATATATATATATATATATATATATATATATGAGGTTGTAGGGCATTTTAAGCCCTAGAACCCCTTTTTTTTTTTTTGGAATCCGACTTTCTTTAGAATTTTTTAAAAATCAAAAACTAAATTCGATTTAAAGAAAATGAAAAATAAATAAATAAATAAAAGCTAGATTTTTTTTTTTTCATTTTTTATCATGAGATATGTGGTCCCTGAGTTCACCTGTATTTTTTTAGAAATGAATTTCTGTTTTTTGCGGGGGTATGAGGTGTTTAAAA